AATAAAAAAAAAGTTAAAAAAAAAAAAGACCCACGTCCCAAAGTCTCATTTTGAAAGGCCCACCTTATATCAAACTTCCAATACTCTAGTTCTGGCCTTACCAGCCCCCTCTGAGAGGCTGCCAGACCTTTGGAGGGGAGGCTGTCTCTTAAGAGGTGAACAATTCTCAGCTGTCTTATCAACAGATGATGTGGTGGTCTCTGGGCTGCGGAATGCAAACAAGCGACATGCACATAGGGACACAGCAGGGTGTCTCTGAACCCATGGGATCTGCTCTTTCTGACGTCAACATCCCATAATTAGTGAATTTCATCAAGGCCTGCTTCAAGTGGTCCAAGGCCTGATGAATGAAAAGTACCACATCAGAGGAGAGAGATTGGCACTACTTTAACAGTAAAAATGGAAAACACAGGAAAGAAGGAAACTTGGGAGGGCTGGTAGGCCTTCCCTGAGCCCAAGCAGGGGAGCAGTAAAAGTGTCAGGGTGTGGGGCAAGCCTCAGGCCATAAAATCTGCTGTCCTGGTTACAAAATGAATCAGTTAATGACACTGCCACTCAGTATCAAAGAGTTTACAGCCCAGTGGGGGAAATTCATGTACCCAGCCCAAGATGAAAGGTGCAAAGTGTTAGCTGCCAGCAGCCAGGCTGCCGGGTACTGGCAAGCGCTGAGGGACTTTGGGAGGGGAGGGTACATGGGCAGGAGGCACGTGGACACACACATGGAGTCAGGGAGCAAGAGGAGGCGTGGCAAGGGGATATGGGAATCAGGAGAGCCCGGAAAACCTGGGCAGGTCAGGGCCTGAGATGGGAAAAGGCAATCCTACTGACAGGTCTTGAGCCACAAAGAAATGACCTTGGTGCTGACTACTAGGTTGTTTTTTCCCCAAAGGTGAGACTGCTAATACAAGTTTTATTCTGTTCTATTCTCAAAGAGTTTTAGTGAGACATTGTCTGAAATACTATAGGTCAGGGGTTAGCAAATTACAGCCCAGCACCTGTTTGGTAAATAAAGTTTTATTGGAACACACCATCGTAATCCATTTACTAAGCATCTCCGGATGCTTTTGGCTTGAGACTGGTCCGCAAAGTCTGAAATATTTACCAGCTGGCCTTTCAAATTAGCTTATGTAGCTTTGAAATTTGGGGGTGGTTTTTGTTTGGTTTGTTTTGGGTATTTTAGAAAAGCTATGTTAAGTTAACAAAAAAAACTTTTAAAAGACACCAATTTTAATCAATAACACATCCAAATGAAAGCAGATCTTATCACTAGGACACGTGGCTAGGGAGGAAGCACAGGGCAGGTCTCACTCGGGAGGCGCCTTCTCCATTCCAGGTGGCTCCAACCCGGGAAGGGGCAGCCTGGAACAGCAAGCGCCCAAGGGACTCAGGACCTGAAAAGCTGACTAGCGATTACCACTCACGTCCTCTCTTGAGCTGGAGGTTCTTCATTTCCTATCGCCTCCTGGGATTCTTAGGTGAGCATCACGTGGAAGTGCGTGCGCTTTCTGGCAACATACACGCTCTGTGTGATTTTATCCAGTGTTCCCCTCTCATAAATCCTCCCCTCCAGCTGAAGAATGCAAATGCCCTTTCATCCTGGCAGCCGCCCGCTGTCCTCTGTTCTCAGCACTTTCCCGACTGTCCCCGACTGGATGATCTCACCCACTGAGCGAAGCTGCAAGTCCTCAGGCCTCGAGCCTGCATCTCTCCAGCCCGGACCACAGAGAGATGACGATGAGGCCCAGGAAAGACAGAGATGGGGGAATTAAAACAGGCCGAACGAGATGCCAAGAATCATCAAGATAATTCTGAAGGAGGAAAATAAGGAGGAGAACCACCCTTGCAGGTGTCAAGCGTGATGCTGGCACTCAGGTAACAAATGGCCAACAGAGAGAGTGCCCAGTCTTGAACCCTCCCGCGTGGGCCGAGGCGGGGCACACGGTGGGGAAGAATGGCTGCCTGACTAATGGCGCCAATGCACAAAACCACACCTCAACGTGAAAAGCACACTTGTACTTCCAAAAATTTTATCGTTAAGTATCTTTATTATATTCAGGTAGAAAAGTAATAACAAGACACAACATAGAGGAAAAGAGCGATCATT